GCGAAAGGGTTGTTTTTGGGAGAAGGAGTATTGGTCAGCCCCCATATGGATAATATGGAAGTTCGCCCAAAGCAGGGTCCCTAAACCCTAAATTCAGGATAGTTTTGGTTGCGTCATAGGTCTAGAGTCCCTGCAAGGAACCTTTGTGACCCTCCGATATGCTAGAATTTCAACAGGTGGCCCAGTGCGACGAGGACAAGCAAGCTCCCATCTGTTTTGGTGCCCCAAGAAGCCACCTTTCCACAATCTGACGAGCAAAAACAATGGCCACGTTCTTCAAAAAAGCCTACAAGCCTATGAGCTCCAGAGCCCCTGAAGACTCCGTCCATGAGTTTACGCATTTAATGCGCAGAGCATGAACCCCCAAGCAACCCCCGGAACTTCATACTCTGAAAAGCTACAGCTCCCAAGGGGCCGGGTTCCTTCTATAATTTGCACGCAAGTGAGGTCCCCAATTGAGTCTTTGCAGGGGGTCAAACATCTATACTGGATAGCGTCCTTACGGAAAGAACCCAGAGATCCCCCTCCCCAGCCCTGAGCCTCATAAGCGGAAAGACGCCAAATCCTAAAACGCAAAACCCAATAATACAAATTCTAAGCCCTGACACCCTGAACCCTAGAGCTTCAAAACTGAAACGTTCGCCCTTGGACTTGTCCAGCTTTTGCCAAGCTTCTATGGTGAAATAATATACCATAGCCCTTATCTTCCTGTTCTGGATAATCTCGTCTCTTATGCTGATTGTTTTGGATAACGTAGTCCCTTATTACCAGTACCCTGCGCATTCACATAGCCCAAAGGCCCACAGCAGGTTTTAGTTGAAGCCTAGTTAGATGCATATGGCTACAGATATCACGGTCTCTTACTACCGGTTTAGATAACCAAGTCCCTTACAACTACGGAACACCTGGACGGTCAGGGGTACTTGGTAAGTGGGTTTATCATTAGGGAGGAGAACTGGGGTTTCTGTGTGGCTTATAAGGGGTCATTAACATACCGGCTAAGTCCCGCAGACCCTTCAAGCAACACCCTAAACGCCAAACCCTAAACCCCAAATCCCCAATCGTCAGCCCTTAACCCCAAACCTTAAGCCCACCCCAAACACTAAAGTGTTTGGTGATAAGCGCTTTGATATCCCTTTATATATCCCTTTTATATCACTTTTATATCACTTTTATATCCCTATATAAACCCATGTATCCCTGTATAGCGATTTGTCAGGAACTCCGCCCTTTACTGGCCAAGCTACGCAAGCTGGTGGGTCTCAAGACCGTGAAAGAGGCAGATTCAAGTCAACAAGTTGAGGGGCTTTTTGGGGCTTAGGGTTTACCTGGACCCCGAAAGTATGTAAAACAATGGCCTTTAGGGCTGGTATCATGGGTTTAGGGCTATTGTTTTACATACTTTTGGGGGGTTTAGGGCTTGCGGGTTTAGGGCCTATAGGGTTTAGGGCTTAGGGGTTGAGGGTTAAGGGCTTTTAGGGCCTAGGATGAGAACTATGAGGTTTAGGTGCTTCGAATTTAGGGCTCGCGCTTGCCTGGCCAGGATCCATGCGAATGGAGTGCTTGTGGACTTTTTGTTGCAGTTTTCCAAGAGGAGTGCTCATGGCCTGGCCCGTGGTGAATGATCGTGGAAATCTTGCATCATGTTGGATCCCCCTATATATATGTGTATATATATATAATGTGTATATACAGATGTATATGTCTATATATATATAATGTGTATATATGTGTATATATATATATATGTGTGTATATGTCTTAGGGTATGAGGTCTGTAGGGCGGTGCAAGCTGTCCTCCGTCCACAGGAGCAACAAGACGGAAGTTTCCATTCCATTGACTGCCTGTCTAGCATTTGTGGCTACTCACATCTGAGAATCTCCCATATCAGCCCATCGGATAAACGGTTCATCTTCTGGGAAGGTAAGCCCTTCACTGACTGTGGTCAAGCGGTCAGGGGTTACCTCAGCTCATGCCAAACCGGAAGCTAGAACCACCCCTACCATTTCATGCAGCACCAACAACGTGCCCAAAGTTGACCTGTGCCCCGGATAAGATGGCGGAATTTTCGATGGAAGGACCAGTTCCGTTAGCGTCCTTCCCCACACATCGGCAAAATGGCTGATACCCACCTCAATCAACCAACCCTATTAACAATTTCCACTACCTGAGATCTCGCGCCTTCATTCAGGCCATGGGAAAGCTTTTCGGGCTTGTGAAGCTTAGCAATTGGCGCACAAGCCTGGGTATGACTTCCCTGGGAGGCGGATAGCATAGAGCTGTCTGTTGGTTATGTGTTTCAAGGATGGTTTTAGGGTTGTTTAGGGCTTAGGGTCAAGCGTGGAAAAAGGGTTCACACCGAGAATTAATACCTGGGTACGTCTGTGAGGTGTCCCTTCGGGAGTGGACAATTACGGCACATTCTACCTTACATGAGCTATAGTTTAAAATCCTTAAAGGGGGCGATGTAGGGGACTATATAGGGCACGGGGACTACCACAGCAGTTAAGGGGGATACTAGGTGTTTAGACTATGGCTTACATGGTCATCCCTTATCTCATTTGGCTCCTCCTCTTTGCGAGGACGGAGGCTGATGTCACGGCTCGTGTGTTCATCAGAGTTTGCGTCACAACCCTGAACACTTTCCAGGCCAAGACCCTACCTGAACCCCAAACGTATGTAGAATAAGGGCCTTTTGGGCTATTTTTGGGGAGGGTCTGGGGCCATTATTCTACCTACCGTTTGGGTTTCAGGTGCAAGGCGGGGAAAGGGTTAAGGGTTTCAGGGTTCGCATGAGTTAATGGAGCCTTATAGTAGTCCCCCGAAAATCCCCAACAAGAATCCCTATACCCCATGCCTTCATCTCCTGCGAAGCACAAGGGAGATATTTGGTAACCGGCTTTGCTCACTAAAAGCGGATTTAAGGCTCATGATTTAGGGTGTAGGGCTTAAGGTTTAGGATTTAGGGTTTAGGGCTTAAAGTTCAGTATTCAGGGTTTAGGGCTTAGGGTTTAGGATTTAGGGTTTAGGGCTCAGGCTTTAGGATTTAGGGTTTAGGGGCGAACCTGCAGACTGCAATCGTACTTTGAAGGACGCGGTGGTTAGGTGATCTAACACCCTCCCTACCTTGATAATCCTTGATACTTAATCCCTCACCGCCTGATATTTATTACCTTAGACATCTGAATATCTATACATACAGTACATATATACATATATTCGTGTATTCTGGTCAGTTATAATATAGCACTATGGGAGTGTTGAACATGAGGGGCTAGGGTGTTTTAATATAAGCGGGAGGAAATTTCACAGTGGATGAAGGAGTTTGGCAAGTACCAGACTTCTTAGGCTTCAGGTGCATGTCATCTTGCAGGATTTCATGTATTCACAGTATGCCCGCATCACAAGGCTGCAGTAACCCCCCAAAATAGGACCCAAGATCTAAACCCGAAATCCCAAAACTGTGACCCTGAATTACAACCTTGTAACAGTCCTAGGATCCCTTCAAAGGTTTTTCCAACTGCAAGCCCGCAACACTAAGATAATTCAATGTCCCATTAGATTTATTTGGGTTTCCTGAAAATTGGGGGGGGGGCATTGTTAGGGACAACCACCCAAAAGAGGAATACTGTAAAAGTAAAAGCCCGCTGCCGGTTTTGGCAAACCTCCATATCACACTCGGCTATTGCATAGATGCAGGATGATTGTAGACAAAGATGCTGCCCTAGACCTTAAACCCTGAGCCTGTTATTGCAAATTCACAGGCCAATCCTTTCACATGCGCTGCTGGGCAAAGAAAGAGTCCGGGATGTAGGGAGTGCGGCATTCAGGGTCTAGATGCAGTGAAGCGGGTTTAGGGTTCAGGGATTAGGGTTTAAGCGCAGTGAAGTGGGTTATGAATTAGGGTTTGGGTGCAGTGAAGTATAAGGCTTCACTTCATGGCCAAGGGGTCAAGGTTCAGGTACCGCTTGCTTGCTTGGACCACTGCCGTGCAGGCTTCACCCTTGGCTCTGCCTAGCTTCTTCGGTAAACAGGATTTAGGGTGTATATGCTATACCCTAGGGATCCAAGTATACAAATAATACCTACATTGGGCCCTAAAGTCTGCAAATATTGCCTACATTGGGCTATTTGGATCCCTAGGGATAGGGAGAGTGCAGAGTATAATATTAATGTTAAAACAATGGAAACGAAAGTGGAAACTACGAATTCTTGTAGTCTTGAGCTGAGATAGCTACCTAAACCCTAAAAGTATGTAAAATAATTGCCCTAAACCCATAATAACAGCCCTAAAGGCCATTATTTTACATACTTTTGGGGTCCAGACAGACACATTCGGGTTTGCAGCGCAGACTGGAGGAGACCTTTGTACACTTTCTTGGCACGGCCACGGAACACATCTTCCTGCTTCATGTTGACCATCTCATCTATGGTGTTGCCAAGGCACAAGGAGCTTCAATTCCCCTAACCCTAAGCCCTAAACCCCTAAACCTTTTCCTGCCGCCCATATTGACAAGCCAAAACCCCTTGATCCGCCTGCCTGACTTGCACTGACTCTTTGGGTTTGGGGTTCAGTCAGGGTTTAGGGATGTTAGGATCTGGAGTTTGGGTCTAGCGGTTTATAGGGCTTAGGGGCTTCGGGTTTTGGATGTAGGGTTAGAGGTTTAGAGGCTCAGGGTTGGAATCGATGAGTTCTTAGCCTCACACCAACTCTGGCTGCTGCTTAGGAGTCTTTAAGCGCTTTGTGGTTTGGTCTCCGCTTAAGCTGCCTGGATGTTGCCAAGCAACTCAACCCTAAACCCTCAACGGTAAATCCCAGCAATCCCTACCAGGCTGAAGGATGGCTTCAGGCTCCTAGTCAACCTAAGCAGCTGCAACCGCCCCCCCCCCCAGCCCAGCTACAAGCAAGAGGTGGGTTTCGGGTTTAGGGTTCAAGGGTCGTTTCCTGCCTAGGTTTCATGAGCAGTATCGTCTTAGCAGGACTGAGAAATTACAAGCCTAACCCTGTGAGTCCCAAACTGTCCCTCCCTAACCCCAAATCCTGAGCACTTACTCCCAGACCTCGCGCAAGCCATTACAAAGCCAGCCCCTGCACTCAGGCTTCTTGGGTAATCCTGGCACAGGGAAGACCGTGGTTGCCCGCATCGTTGGTGAGATGATGGTGGCTGGGCTGCACATGGTCAGGTCTGTAGGGGAGTTGCGGAAATGTGCCACTTCCGAAGGCAACGACCACGTGATTACCTTGGGGTGGCAAAGCCCACAAAACCCTATCTAACCAAAACCGTTGTTTGGTATGAGGCTTAGGACATTCGCAGAAAAGCCTGTGTGCCACCTCCAACGGCAAGACTATCAGAATTCAGTGCTTCCATCGCTCCCCAGGCTCATGCTGCAGGGTTTCTCGGAATCGGCGGAGCCGACTGTGTGCTTCTGCTATTCTGGATCGGGACTAATTACTCACTTTCCATGATCAAACGCTTTGCCAAGCTTCACGTGTGCCATAAGTCTTTACTGGGGGCAGCGGTGAGTCAGCGCACGGACTGAGCGAGTGCCCCGCGCGCCCGGCTTGCATGCGGCCGCCGCCCGAATCTTAACTATCAAACCTACGACCTACCTGCGATCAGCATCGGAATGGACCCGAAACTCAGGCACCTTTAGGCACACTCCTTTCGGGCTCGCTTCTCAAACTTAAGGTTAGGCATGACACCTATAAACGAGAAGGACACCTAGGACCTAGCACAAGTATCGCAAGAACGAATCTGTGCCTCGTGGCATCCCACCAAAACGTAACGATACATGCTCAGCCCTGAACCCTAAGTATTGACAGAACAATTCTGAAGACCCAGACGCTGCAAACACCACCCTCCTCCGGAAGGGATACATATCTTTGCACTGGCCCTGTTGCAATGCACTAAGCCCTAGATATACCCGAAAGGCGCCCCAGCCGCTAAGTATTCCTCAAAGTCTGACCTGAGGTGAAGATGGGTGTGGTGACCATGCCAAAAGAGCAACAGGAGAAGCTTGAGGCTGAGGCACCGCAGCAAGCCACAGCCGTTTCGATCTAGCTGTGAGTTTGTGAATATCATACCTTTGATGCCTTTAGTGATCCATATTTTCGTAGGGACGCTGACATTGTAATTGTTATCATTGGAATTCGAGGCTTTATCGGCTCTAGCGGTGTAGGATTTGGTGCTCTGCGGGGTTTGGGGTTTCAGGAGTTTTTTTTTTTTTTTTT